CTTTTTAATGATACCTAGCATGGAATTGGCCTTCTTCACTGCCCCCGCACACTGGGTTGACACTTTCATCAAGCTGTCCACCAGCACACCAATATCTCTTTCCGGATCTGTCCTGAACAGCTCAAAACTCATTAGATTAGCTGATAAAGTTTTGATTTTTTTTTTTGCCCTGGAAGAATTTTGCAGCTGATAAAGTTTTGATTTTTTTTGCCCCGGAAGAATTTTGTGTCATCTGCAAACTTGGCCACCTCACTGCTTATCCCTGTCTCTAGGCCATTGATGAACAGATTGAAAAGCACAGGTCCCAGGACAGATCCCTGGGGCACACCGAGTTTTCACCTCTCTCCATTGTGAAAATTGCCCATTGACACCTACTCTGTTTCTTGGTTCTCAATGTATTTAAAGCATTTACTAAAAAACTTGCTGGTCATTTTAAAATTGGCTTTAGGATCAGAATGGGAAAATTACATTCTTTTAACAAGTTCTGACTTCCACCAGTAGCCAACAATTTCCTTGGTCACCTACCATAATTCTAACTAGTCACTTCATGTGAAAGACAGAATGATACATTTTCAAGCATCCTCTAGTCCTCCCTTTTTTGAATTCTGAAAATTAGTTATCCTTGAGACTCTTGATCTTCAATCAGCACTGACAAAATCACACAACAGTTTCTGCCATTGAAAAATTACAGCTTTGGAGATTCCAAATGGGGCCTGACTTTGGAGTACCTGACTTTAGACAGAACTGCCATCTTAACTGTGGAGTTCCTGCCAGACAAAGAGATTAAACAGGTCATAACACCAGCTTAGTCCTGATACGGCTTGACATTAAAACATTTGTTGCCATTAACAGCCATGCAACTTCAACAGCCATCCTCCTTTACTTATTATTGGAAGAGTAAACAAAACACCTACTGAGAACCTCTACATATTGGGAAGGATTGCAGTCAATCTCGTTGCTTCCAACCATAGCTTGAAAGTTAATGTACAAGGACTGGAGAACAGCCAATGAGGACCCATCTTCATCCATTCACATAGTTTGAAAAGGTCCTCCTATTCCAGCCTCTTAAAGGGCTGTGGCAATATCATGCCATCACAAAATTCCTGTTGAGAACTGTGGTAGGCAATGATTCAGCAGGATGCCAAGTGTGAAAAACGCAGCCTATTACTTTCAGTTAGAAACCAAGGGGGAAACACACCTTTTTTCTCCTCTGTTCATGTCTATCCCCCCACATCAAAAATCTCATGAAATTCTCAGATGATTCATGGTCATTTTCTTCTGCAAAAGATACCAATCTGTGTGGAAACATTGTAATTCCTTCACAAAAATACCTTTCCTGTACAAGATTCTCTAGAGAATCTAGACAGCCCATTGTCTGTATAGAATTTGGTGTTTTCTTGCACAAAAGAATAGGTAAAAGAGAGAGAGAGGGAAGGAGAGAGGGAGGCAGGAAGGAAAAACGAGACCAGGGGGTTGCAATTTTGTGGGAAGCAACAAAATATCTCAGAAGATGCCTGAGCAAGGATTCCTGGTATTGCAATTTATAAGAGTTACTGATTCTAACTCTAAGATGCAGCTTACAAGTATTTGTGTTTGTTTAAAGAAGTTTTAAATGAGATTGAGGCCTAAACTTCCTATAATGGCTGGTGGGATTTGAACAATGGCTGAGAACAAGAAAGTTTTTGAATACCCTCCAATTCCCTCTTGCAAAGGTTAGATGGAACTGTAGTGAACAGCATGGCATCCTGGTTGAAAAAAAGGATCTTTAACCTGGTTAGGGATCAGCATTATTCTTGCTAATTTCCTGGAACTGGGAGTAACAAAATTAATAGAGGGTAGCAGAGTGAACTGACTTTCAAATGCTCTGTTCTATCCTGGGTTTTACTTCTTTGTTTTGTAAATTAATCAGGTCAGTAGACATCTGGATAGTGAGAAAGCTGACAGGAAACAAAGTAATCTATTTAAATATGGTATGGAAGGAGAATGTTATGGATCCTATGGACTGCTAGAAAGATGAATAAGTGGGAGCAAGATCAAACTAAACCTGATCTCTCCTAAGCAGAAGTCACTACCCAAAGGATGGGGAACATCATAAGGAGGCAAGACTCACTGGGAAAAACAAAAACAAAAACGTTAAGAAAAACTCAAGATATTACAAAAAGAAAAGACTGAACATGGAATGGAGTAGGGCGATAAAAGAAGCCATGGCCTTGAGATTGCAAGACCTGACCAAGGCTGTTAGTGATAGAATTTTTCAAAAGTTACCGATTCATAGGGTTGCAATGTAACAGTTTAGCAGAGCAATAGATTGACAAATTTTGTTGTTACCATTTATGTCAAGCTCATGGATAGCAGAAAAGGAATACAGTGGTGCCTCGCTTGACGATGTTAATTCGTTCCACCGAAATCGCTGTAGAGCGAAAACATCATCAAACGAAATAAAAAAACCCACTGAAACGCATTAAAACCCAGTTAATGCGTTCCAATGGGCTGAATACCTGCTCGTCCAGCGAAGATCCTCCATACAGCAGCCATTTTCGGTGCCTGTATAGTGAGGAATCCATCCTAGAAAATAGTGGGGAGCCATTTTGAAAGCCGGTGGCGATTCTGAAACCCAACTATCAGCTGTTTGCTGATTGTCGTAAAGCGAAAAATCGGTTGCCGAAACAGGGAACCGATCAACGTGAAGCAAAGTTCCCCCATTTAAAACATCATTTTGTGATCGCAAAAATGTCGACGTAATGAGGATTTGTCGTAGAGCGGGGTAATCGTCCAGCGGGGTATGACTGTACTGCTATCTGCCCCCCACCACAATTCATTAATCTTAAAAAAGTTAAAAGCAACAGAACTGGTAATGACTTTCCATCTCACAATCCTTTTCATATATTCTGAGCAACCCATTCAGTTCATGATAATGTGACCATGACATAGGCCTTGCTCAGTTTTCAGAGACAGTCTAAGTTTCAATGCACAACAAAACCAGGATCACTGACAGATATTGGCACTCCTCATGAAACTCTCAGGGCTCCCAAAAGGCTTTGCACCCACTTTTTTTGCACCCTGCTATTACTAAAAAATGAGCAGCAAAGGAGGCCAAAACCAGCAGCCTTCCTGAGCGTGCCTGCTACTGCAGTGGAGTAGATCCACG